AACGTGAATATAGTTTTCTTCTTCTGCAAGAGAAAAGTCGTAATTTTGAGGCGAATCAGCATGGAATGGATCCGTGATCCATTTGTATTTATCACTTACTGCTTCTGGAAAATATTTAGAAAACCTGGACTGCAGATTAACCAAGTGAAAAAAGTTTTTCATACAAACAAACAACCCCCAAAAAACCACTCCCCCCCCCCCCAGGAGGGTGCGCCACACACTTTGGGAACCTCTGCTATAGTCCAAAGCTCAGATTATATCAATGTACTGAAACAGTGTCTGTGAAGGACTGTAACATGTTATGAAGTATCGCGTTTCATGCATGTTCAGAAAGCGGTGTGAAAATCACGCCTACTTGGTTCCAAAAACCATTTCTATCCTTGACAGTGAGAGGATGGGGGCGGAAGGGTTGTCACGCCTTGCCCTCTTGCCTGAGGCAGCAGAAATTACGAGCCTCTTATCTTGTGATAACTGCAGCAGAGAACGCTTGTAGAATAAACTCCAGCAGGCTGCGTTAGTTTCACTTCACACACAAATAGTTTCGTTCTCACCCGCAGCGCGCGTCACTCGACTCCACTAATGAGTCGAGATTTCTACACATTTACATCAGAAACAAAGCGGTCTTGCTACGATGTCTGCGAAGTCTCAATTAGTTTCAAACAATAATGAGATGAAGGTCATCAACATTAATACCGGTAAAATGAATTTCTCAAATCTCTTGTGTTATTGAAGCAAACATTTCACTAGCTACTTCTGCAGGAGGGGTTTAACAGTTTGTAGCATGAAAAGCATCGAAAGTTTGTATCCACACGTAGACACGTAACATAAATCCTGAGTTCTGAAGGCCTGGTTATAGTATTCACAGCTGGCCACAGTTGCCTTTTTTGGACCATAAGACGAAGATCGGTAAACGGAGTGACCGTTCCATGTTTGTGAACTTTACGATGCGACTGGGTAATGAAGGAAGTCCCAGGTGGCTGGAATAGCCAGACAACACGCAAGTAAACTTACATGTGATGCAGACTTCCTATTCAAAGTTTCTCGGAGAGAGAATGGGAGGAGAAAACCATTTTCGCGAAATCTTATGTGCGACATATTTCCTTGATGGAAATGGGATACTGACTTTAGCCACGACAGCCAAAAGTCTACATAAATCCGTAGAAAAATAAGTCCATACTACATATTTTTCTATTAGACTATAAGTTACTATGATTAAACAAAATACTTCAATATTTCCAGGTGCAAATCATTGCCTCTCTCAGGTCTGTAAGCGCGATTAAAATGTCTTCTCTTAGCCATCCATAATCTTCAGATACTGCACCAAACTGTTAATCGTCCAACACGTCACAGTCGAGTGATTAGATATTCTGCTTCCTATTCGGAAAATTTCGTTCCCAGAGCTCCGCTAAGAAGCCAGTTAATAAATGTAAATTTTCTAATACTAGAGCAGAGCGCTCCTTTCGGAGCTCCTCGGGGGGTCCAAGTTTTTAAAACTCAACCAAGGTGGTTCGTCAAGTGTTTAAAACGCAACCAACCCCCCCTTCGGGGGGTTGGTTGCGTTTTAAAATCTTGAGTAAGACACTAAACTAACTCCCCTTCGGGGGGGGGGGTTAGTTTAGTGTCTCATTCAAGTGTTTTAACCCTTGAGTAAGAAACTAAACTAACCCCCGCGAATGGGGGGTTAAAAAACTTAACCAACCCCCCCTTCGGGGGGTTTGTTCAAGTGTTTGGTTGCGTTCTGGAGCAGTGATCATGCGACTGGCTTGGTAGTTGGTGATCTCGTAGCTGTGAAGCGTTATTTGTTGATGACGTCATTTCTTGACGACAAATTGGTTGACGACAACGGGGAATCAGAAATTTTTATAGTAGAGACTCTATCCCTTAAGATTCCTGAGTACAGTCCTAAGATAGGCAACGACCACTTCTTTTTGCTTCTTCCTGAATTCATCATTCATTATCATACTACGCTACATAATTAGAAAAAAAGAGTTTGATATCTAAAATTACCAGTCATTCTGAAATCAGAAATATGCACTGTGTATCTCATTTGTTGCCACAATGCGGAACCGAAGTCCTTAACGGCTAATACTCTTTACAGATGTACCAGCGAATGATAAAATACGTACACCCATACCACACGTACAAAATACAAATATAATTGATACGTAGGTCCACGAATTTAGTTGATATATTAGTGTCAGCTTCGAAGCAACGAAAATTATTCAAGCATATAAAATAACTTTTATCCCGAAATCCAAGCTATATGATACCAATATCGTAACAAAGATAAAACCTTCAAAGAGCGGCATCCTAATTGGGAAGCTGGTAGTAGTTCAGGTAGTCAAAACATTTCCAAATTTTTATGTAACCTGAAGATTCGTTACAAAATTCGCATGATAATACCACTGGAATCCAATCTAAATCCTAAGACTACTACTTCAAGATAACATTAGAATATAACTCATCTGCATCTGTCGCCAAAGTGGCTTCCTCCCTCACAATTTCCACAAAAAATTCTGTATGAATTTCTCATTTACCTAATTCGTTCTGCATGTCCTACGCACCCCGTACGATATAACACATCGGCCTAAGACATTTGAATATCAATGGACTCCGCATTTCAGATGTTGGTATTCCTGTAGGACTTTCCATTTCGTTTCATTTCTTCATGCACGCCATTAAACCAGTGTAGAGCCTAGATCCACTGGAATATACCAGAGAAACGTGGAGTAGTTTGGCGTATGCGGGATAAATATTAATGAGATTTCTCAGTGCAAATATTGACATTACTCCCGTGAGAGTCGAACAACCGTTTGGGAAAATATCGTAGTGGATTCCGACGCAAGTTCACATAAACCAGGAAAAGGTTATAAATCAGGGTTGTCCAAAACTTTATTCTAAAATCGAATTTTTCAAACTACAGTTTGGACTGTCGGCCCGTAAAATCTATTTAGCGTTATATAATATATTTTAACACAATTGGAAAATTTAATGAGTGATGAGGAAGGGGACACTAAGATTTGGGGGATGTAACTGATACATCCCTCAGAAATGAGAAAGCCGTATTAGAGATCCCAGACCTTTTTTGTAATATCGATCTGCCCGACAAATTACATTATTTCACATCGCGTCATGTGAATGTTCTAATTGCGAATGTTCAGTGCGGGTGATATGACGCATGACCGACAACAATAGCATATAAAGGTGTCAATTACTGTGTCCCAAATAAACACGTTTATTAGTAATGAGTATATTATTTTATTACTCATACTGCAAAATGTGTCAGGTACCGGCTCTTGAAAAACATGGGCAGACTTTCATGTTAACAGTATTAGCCACGTTACCCTGGTTAGATTTTTAAAAACGCAATATACGTAAAACGTCTTCAGTCTTTAGTGATTCGCTGTGACACAGTAGAACCTGTCGGAAACCGTAAGCCTCAACTATCTGGCTAACAACGCGTTGCTGGCAGGACCTCGCTAACGATAATTTTATATAATCGGTTCTGCTGTGGTCGAGTTTATGGAGCCTCTTCGTTGTATGACCGAGGACTTTTTAACGTGTTAGCCAGGCTAACATGGGTAACACGGTTAACAACCGCTCCACCCCTGCAGCTGCCATCTTATGTGTGGCCAGGAAACAAGAAGGTGTCACAACTACATACGTCACAGTCCTTCCTGACAAGGCAACAGTAACTAATTTAATCAATAAATTCCTGTCTTCACCCTATAGAAGGCAACTGCATTGTTTGTCGAAACGTAGAAGTACTGCACCAAATAATATAGCTCAAACCCAAAGTCGTCCTTACACATCATACACCTGCTAATGGATCTTTATAATAATCCTCAATAGGTTATGTAGCTGTTACAACTGAAACTAAAATTATAAT